ACGGCTCAGACTCCATGTGAGGGATCATTAATATGCTCTGGGCTGCTGCTTTGGAAGAGACTGCACCTAATTATGTGGGTTAACACACTTAAACTAAATGGATGAATTGCAGCCATTTGCAGTGTTTCAAGTCCCCTCAGACTGACAGAACTGTAGATTAATAAGTTGTTAGAGAGTGATCTGTTGACCTGCCCCGTCGTTCTTCACTTTCACTTCATATGCTCTTGGAGGCATGAAATGCTGCAGTGTAGGAATGTGTCAATCACTGCATTTCAACTGTGTGCCTTTCTCTGGCTCTTGCCTAAGAAATGATCCAAATTGGTGAAAGAGGAAAATGTAATGCCTGACAGGTCCAGTGAACTTCAGCTGACTTTGGGTCCAAATGCACCATTCACAGGAGATAACAGGTCCCCTGCCAGCACAAAACAGCTTAGGATAAGGACTGGACTCCTCCCAGCTGTCTGGGGCTGCCTAAAGCCAGGCCTATCCTACAGTCATAGAATGGTTTGGGTTGGAAGCAGCACTAAAGATCATCAAGTTCCGACCCCCCTGCCATGGGCAGGGGCACCTTCCACTATCCCAGGTTGCTCCAATATGACCTTGGACACTTCCAGGGATGGGGCAGCCACAGCTTCTCTGGACAACCTGTGCCAGCGTCTCACCACCCTCACAGTAAAGAATTTCTTCCTAATATCCAAATAAAATCTAATATCTAATCTAAATTTACTCTCTTTGGGGTGTACACCCTCTATAGAACGAGGCTGTGAAATTATGATGAGATGGAAAGGGTGTATTGGGACAGATTGCTAACTATCTTTTTTTTTGGTGGAAGGAAAAAATGGATATGAAATTATAGCCATAGGAGCCAAAATCAATGCAAAAATGTCCTGGAGTTTATGGGTTTGGGTTTTTTCCTTTCTCAGTTGGTAGTAGACCTTTGAAACTCCTTTTTAAGCCACATCATCATCAGGAAATCCCCTCAATGGAAAAATTAAGAATGCAGACTGCAAAGTTATTAGGGAGAAAAAAAATATAGGTACCTTTTCTGTCCCTTTGTTACTTGTTTATGGCCAGTGCTGGAGACAGAATATCAACTGATTGGGAACTTTGAGACAAGGCATCAGAACTGTTCTTATGTCCTACCTTGTGGTGATGAAGACATGGAATGCTCCCCAAGGCTTCCTCCTGGTTAATTCAAGCAGCTGTCTTCCCAGCACAGTAAATTTCATAAAATCATGGGATATCCTAAAGGATCATCAAAGTCCTACTTCTGGATTTATATATCCCATGCAAGCTTTCACAGGTGTCACAAAAAGGGACAAAAGGTCAAGAAATTGTTGACCAGTGGATGACACAACACTATCAGTTTTGACACCTATTTCCTTTCGTGGACCCAACTCTGAGGAACAGTCCTCATTTTTAAAGATCTCAGACCTGAGAAATTTCAGTGGCTCCTGAAGGGCTTTGTCAGTGACAGCAAGAGACACCAAAACACGTTTGTTTTCTCATGTTCACATTTGTCCTTAAGGCACTAGAGACAAAACTGTTTCCTATTCCACTCCTGCCTAAAATGACCTGACAACTTAATAATTGGACTGGGTACTTAGCTCACCACGCTTCTGATGTGCCTCTTCTTAATTGATTTTGTCAGGATCTTTTTAACTTCTGCTGTTTCCATCATGCTGTTGCTCGGCATAATGCCTCTGAAAAGAGGTTTATTAGAATTTTCCCCTGTCATATCCTGTTGTCACATTAACCCTCTGCGTCATGGTGGTTTGCAGGATCTGCCCAAGTTGAACTGCCTGATGTCGGAAAGCTTTGAGCTCCGTGTCTCTGCCAGGGATATTGTAAAGAAGAAGAAACTATGCCTGTATTTTCTCCCAAAGCATCAGTAGCATAAACAGCTGCTTAATGGCACTGTTAGATATATTTTCCACGAGGAAGGCAAAGGAAAATGTGCCCATGAAGTGAGTAAAGCAATAGAAAACATATCTTCACTTGCAGTTGGAACTGAAGCTGCAGTTGATGGCTCATTGTCCAAATGGAGATTAGCAACAAGTACTGTCCATATTGGACCCAGTGCTGTTTAATATCTTTATAAATGACATAACAACAGGATTGAGTGCACCCTTCAGTGAGTTTGTGGATGACAGAGGGGAGAAAACGTAAAAAACAACTCGTGGGTTGAGAAAAAGAACAGGGGGGGATCACTCACCAGTTACTGTGCTGGGCAAAACAGACTCAGCTTGGGGAAATTAGTTTCATTTATTGCCAATCAAATCAGAGTAAGATGATCTGAAATAAACCCAAATCTTAAAACACCTTCCCACCACCCTGCCCTGCCTTCTACCTGCACTCAACCTCACTCCCCAGTTTTCTCTTCCTTCTCCCCTTTAGTAGTGCAAGGGGAGGGGAGTGGGGGTTGTGGTCAGCTCATCACACATCTCTGCTGCTCTTTCCTTCTCAGGGGGAGAACTCCTCACACTCTTCCTCTGCTCTAGCCTGGGGTCCCTCCCATGAGAGAAAATTCTCCATGAACTTCTCCAGTGTGAGTCCTTCCCACGGGCTGCAGTTCTTCACAAACTGCTCCAGTGTGGGTCTCTTCCATGGGGTGCATTCCTTCAGGAACAGGCTGCTCCAGCACGGATCCCCCACGGGGTCACAAGTCCTGCCAGCAAAGTTGCTCCAGCATGGGCTCCTCTCTCCACAGCCCACAGGTCCTGGCAGGACCCCGCTCCAGTGGGGTTTCCTCCATGGGCTGCAGGTGGATCTCTGCTCCCCCATGGACCTCCATGGGCTGCAGGGGCACAGCTGCCCCATCATGGGCTGGGGGGAATCTCTGCTCCAGCACCTCCTGCCCCTCCTTCTTTATTGCCCTGGGTGTCTGCAGGGTTGTTTCTCTCACATATTCTCACTCCTCTCCTCTGACTGCTGCTGGTGTTACACTGGAAGTTCTTTTTCCCAGCTTCTTACACGTTATCCCAGAGGTGATACCAGCATTGCTGATGGGCTCAGCCTTGCCCAGCAGCAGGTCCATCCTGGAGCCATCTGGCACTGGGTCTGTCTGACACAGGGAAGCTTTTGGCAGCTCCTCACAGAAATCACCCCTGTAGACCCCCTGCTACCAAAACCTGGCCACGCAAACCCCACACACCACTCTGGGGTCCCCAAGCTCAAGAAAGGCACTGACATATTAAAAGAGATTCAGAGGAGGGGCACAAAAATGATCCCAGGGCTGGAACACCTCTCCCATGAGGAAAGGTTGGGAGAGTTGGGGCTGTTCAGCCTGGAGAGGAGAAGGCTCTGCACGGGCCTTATGGCAGCATTTCAGTGGACAAAGGGAGCTTATAAAAAAGACAGAGGTGCTTTTTACCAGGGCGTGGAGTGACAAGACAAGGGGCAACAGTTTTAAACTGAAAGAGGGCGGGTTTAGATTAGACATAAGGAAGAAATTGTTTATGGTGAGAATGGTGAGGCCCTGGCACAGGTTGCCCAGAGAAGCTGTGGATGCCCCGTGCCTGGAAGTGTTCAAGGCCATGCTGGGACAGGGCTTGAAGCAACCTGGTCTAGTGGAAGGTGTCCCTGCCCATGGCAGGGGGGTTGGACTAGACAATGCTTGAAAGTCCCTTCCAATGCAAACCATTTTCTGATTCTATGATTTAACCTGAATATACTCATTTATAGCAACCTCATGTTTTGTTTTGGTTTTTTTTTAATAGCATTTGCCATTATAACCAAGCAACTCACAACATTATGTTTGTCACCACATGTTTTCAAACCTGCTCCAGGCCAGACAAGCTTTACAGTTTCAGCAGAGAAATTCTTTACCTGGGTCATTGGTGCCAAATTCATGTGCTGTGTGAGCTGGCTCAGGGAAAGCTCAATCAGTCTGTGTCTGCACTGCATCACACTAATGAGGTAATCACTGAGCTGCTAATGAATGGGATTAGTGACTGGGCAAGAAGTGTTTGTTCTGGATCCCCTGTTCAAATGCAACTCGAAGCTCTCAAAATATTTGCTCGCAATCAGCCACGAGCTGGGCTCGGTTCAGCTCTCACTAACGAGATGAAAATGATTTTCATCACTGGAGGATTTGCCAAATGTGCTGATGGAGAAAGTCTGCACTTTGTGGTGGATAGAGGGAAGGAGTTCTATTTCAGAAGTAAACTCTCTGTAGTAAGGTAAAGCAGTAGGTGTCATAATTCCTAATTTCACGCCAGCACTAAGCTTGGCTGGGAAAAAAAACCCAGTATCACTTTATTAATTAGCTTTTCTCAGTGGCAATTAATGAATATTTAATATTACATGTAACAATCCAGTTACGTAGATTTGGTAGCATAAACCTAAAGAAAAACCACCAGAACCTGTGCCTTCTGTTTCTTCACCAAAGCAAACTGCACTGATTTAAGAAGTTTCACAGCTTTGACCCTGAATGAGCTTAAGCACCTGCAAGATTTCTCTGAGCATTTTCTGTGCTCAACCTTTCCTGAGGAAAGACTGTGTCAGCTTTTTGGAAAGGAAGCATGCAATTGAAATCAGTGCAGGCAAGAATCTAGTTTAATATTTGTTATTCTTTTCTAAAGCTTCACAGTAACCAAAAATCCATATAGAGGCAACTGATTTTTTTTTTTTTTTTTTTATGGTGAGAAGCACTTTTGTCAAAACATTTTACTTTTCTCAAAGAATAAAAAACATATTGTTTTGTTAAATTCTCTTCAATAATTCCTATGACATTTTAATTAAAACCATTTTTGAAATGCTTTATTTACCGGAGGAAAACGGCATTTATAACACACGACACATTTAAACGAGAATTTAAATGGCAGTTTCAATCATGTTGTCAGCAGAAAATATTGTGGGTGAGGATGGAACAAAATCCTAAACGCTGGTTGCATTGCAACCTATGAAATGGAATCTAATGCAAAATTTATTTTTTTTTTTAATGACATACCTTGCTTGATTTTTTTTTTTAATAGATTAAAGGTCTTTAAGAAATTGTTACATTATGCCTTGCTTATTTGTCCTGCTCTTTCAGTAGTGTTTCTCATAAATGAGTGTGGTGTTCTGTGCATACAGTGGGATCAAAGAAGCATCTAATTTAAGTGTTGTAAATGGCATATATAATTGTGGTCGTGCTTAGCTCAGATCCAGCAGAGCAGAGTCTAAAGCAGCAGTGCACAGCAGGAGGGGGAATCTGAGCTAAATTAATCTTTAAATGTACAAAAACAGTAACAAACAACAACAACAAAAAAAGAATCAGACAAAACATCTTGACTTTCATGGTTTTAAATGGGCAGAACTGGAGACCGGGAGCAGGTTAAAAACACAAACAATGGAGATGAATTAAAAGCTACTTATCTTACAGCACATTGTTTAGCAAATCTGAAGGCAAAGGAAAGAGCATTCCCCAGACACGGGGGACGTAATTAAAATCTGAGGTAAAACGTGTCTACAATGAAGGGGGAAAAAAACCAGGCAAAATGATTCACAATGCTACCAACACACAGTATGAAATTTAGCTCTTTTTTTTCATACAGCTTGTGCCTGTTGGTGGAGCAGGTTCAATGTGACGTGTCAGTAACGCAGACATGGACGCGGGGCCTGAATGTGCAATGCCTTGAGAATCCATTCCAGCTTCCCAGGGGGATCACAGGCTCTGCAAAACCAAGAAGAACCGGTAAGTAATTACAGGATTTCCAGGGAGTTTCTGATGTAAAGCTGTTACCGACGGAAGGTGGTTACTCAAGGGGGTCCCGAAGTGCAGAATCAGCAACAAAGGAGATGGAAAGTCAGAAAAGTGTATTTTCGGTGACTGCAGCCCAAAGTAATCGTGGGAGTAGAAGGGGTGAGCAGACTGGTACAAGATGCCCTGGGAAGCTGTGGATGTCCCATCCCTGGAGGTGTTCAAGGCCAGGTTGGACGGGGCTTGGAGCAACCTGGGATAGTGGAAGGTGTCCCTACCCATGGCAAGGGGTTGGAACAAGATGATCTTTGAAGTCCCTTCACACCCAAACCGTTTCATGATTCCATGACTGAGAGCATAGACAAAACAAATTTATAAAGAAAATGCAGCACAGAGCTGCTGTAGCAAGGAAAAGAGCAAATTTTGTGCTGCTCTTCAACGCCAGCAGTTCCCACACCTGCAGAACACTGCATTTAGTTTTAAAAATACATTTTTCTGCGAAGTGGACAAAGTATAGAAGGCAGAGTGTGACACTAATGCACTTTTCAGGAGAGAATAGATCTAAGAAACCTCAATCTACTTCCCATTTTTCCATGCAATGAAAACCTTGGACAGCTTCCTCTGGCTAGGAAGGACTCACTATGCCACGTGTAGATCTCCAATTAGAGATCAAAACCATGTAAATCTAAACTATAAAACGTTTACAGTATTCATTTAGTCAATAGAATTAAAAAAGGGTATTTTTTTATGAAAGAGCATGTTGCTCTCCAATTACCCTAAAAGAAGCCTCCTAGGATAGACATCAGCAGCAGAATAGCACCTCCAAGATCAGCCCTATGGACTTCTAAGGTCAGATAAATTGTATTTTTGCACTCACCACCCCATGAAACAGGTCTGTGAGCAACCCTAGGAAATGCATCTGCAACCTTCTGTAATGTTTGTGTTTAGTCTACCTCTACTTCCTTAGTAAATATTGTTTGTGTATCTCTACACAAAAAAATCTAGAAGAAAATCTAGTTAAACTTGCTATCAAGGGTGAGGAAAGGAATGAAAAAATAGTCTGCTATTATTATTGAAGACATAACTGGTAAGAAGTTCCTTTTTTTTTTTTCCCTTCTTTTTTTTTCTTTTTTTTTTTCCCCCTCAATACAGGTGCCAGCCAACAAGGTGTCAAAACAGACCAGTGACCAGACACCCCCCTCCCTCAAAGCAGCCAAATACAGACACAGCCATATTTTTATTTATGCTGATGTTCAAACTTACTCATAATAAGGCCATTTGGACAATATTTTGAAATCAGATGTCCATTGTGTGCTGTGCTGCATATACAAAGCATAGATGACAGTTCCTGCCTTGTATTCACATAAACACCTCAAAGAGGCACTTAAACCACTCTACTCTAATAAGCAAGGCTATCCTTCTGCAGATGACATTCATCTCAGCTAATTTAAGGTGCAAGTACCTCCATCTGAGCATAATAACTCCCAGGCTCCAGGCTCCTATTACAGTAATTACAGATCTAATCAATACAGCCAAGGATTTTTAGGGTGGGGATCATTTAAATGAAGTCATCAACTTCATATTGACCTAAATTTCAATGCCTGGTATTGACTAGTATTAGTTACAAAGGGATCTTCGGGATGACTTTCTCAGGTGCAGGAAGGTACACCCTGGACACCCACATTTAGCTGCACAAATTCAGTAGCCAAAGTCCTTTTAATGTCACAAAAGGATGTCAAGTCACAGAATGACTGAAAGGATGGAGTGGGAAGAGACCTCTGGAGATGGAGAAGGGTGATCAGGGCTGTGTTCAGTTGTGTTTTGAATGGCTCCAAGGCTGGAGACTCCACAACTCTCAGCAACTATTTCAGATTGTGCCCCTTGCCTTTTGTCCTGCCAGTGGAAACTACTGAGAAGAACCTGATTCCATCTTTTTTATCTCTCCCCATCAGGTGTATGTAGATGGATAAGATCCTCCTGAGCCTTCCCTTCCCCAGGCTGCAATCCCAGCTCCCTCAGCAGGAGAGAAAGGATCAAGTCAGGTCCTGTGGACCTTGGATAAGATCTTATCTCCAAGGACCAGGATGAAGGGACCATATGTTGGACATGAATGCAAACCCTACTGCCAGCATTGCTCTCAGCAGGCTCTGCACTACTGGGGATTGTGAATCTTGATTTGCAGGCAGGGAAAATGTTGCAAAAGCCATTTAAATTAAAAATAGATAATCTACAGACTTGGAGTGGAACAAGAGAGAGTCACATTTAACATTGCAAAAGCCATTTGAATTAGAAATAGATAATCTACAGACTTGGAGCGGAACAAGAGAGATTCTCCAGACACAATCTAATTAAAGATATTCTGGGCCAGCAAACCAACAGACTTAAAACATGTTTCTGGTTTAGCTGAGGATAAAAATGAGTTATTATGAGTTACTGAGGAAGAGTTTGAGTTCTGTCATACTTTTAGGTTTTTATTAAAGATTTTTTTTTTCTTTTTTTTGCTATTTGCTGTAGTAATAGTTATGCTGAGTTTAGCAGTTCTAGTCCTGGACTGTGACTATAGCCTCGTGTTAGCTGCTGTACAAATAGAGAACTAAAAAGAAAGCTCTAGGAAAAAAAAAAAAAAAAAGATGCAGCAGACTTGTGTTTATTTTTTATATCTGGGAAACTTTACTAGTAGAAACTTGGCTGACTTAAGGCTTTGTCTGTCTGTATTTCAGTGAGTCATTCCTATTACCTTCATAGTCAATAAAAGGAAACAGGCATATTTATCTTATTTCTTTTTTTTTTTTTTTCCCCCATACAGAGAGGGCAAGAAAGGAAAGGACAAATTAAAAAAACCCAAACCCCTGCTGCTATCAGGGTGCTAAAATTACTCTTCTGTGCAGGCTGACAGGTCTTTTTACTGAGAACTGCAAAAACAGACTGGAAAGAGCTGCTCCAGCCCTGTGGTAGCTCTAAGTTGGAATGGCAATGTGAGCTGTGGATCCTCCCTGGGCTTCAGAGAACCATCTTTCACCTCTTTGTGGTTCACAGTGTAGACTCTGCTCGTTTATTTAATCCAGGCTGTTCTGCCTAAATTAAAGAGGTAGTCTCAAGGGAAGATAAATTATCCGGAGTAATAAACCAATTTGTTCCTACCTGCTGCTGTTTCAAATCAAGGGAGATCTCTGTCCAAGTAACATGAGAAGTGTCACTCTGCGTTAAGGAAGTTGTGATGATGCAGCTTTGGAATTTTGCACATTTATGAAGATTTAAGGCTTTCCCACAGGTATGAACCTCAATGGACTTCTCTGTGGGAGAAGCTCATCCAGAGAAATTGTCACCCATTGTCAACAGTAGATGACCATTATTTGTGCAGAGCTTTTTGGGCCAGTTGGATGATTCTTTGAAAGTGTGAAACGATGACATTCATTACAAGCTGGCTGAGATGATCAAAGGTAGCCTATGAAATTACCAAGTCAATGAAGGAGGAGAGATGTTCCAAAGCTCACTTCAGTCCATGCAAACAGCCTCACTGACTTTATCCAGCTTTGCATCAGGCCCATAGGAAAGTTCTTACTCTGCAAAGTCATGGGCTGTAAACCCACACTGTTGAAGGAAGTCTGATGGATTGTCCAAAGGACGGAGAATTAAGGACAGAATGAAGATACAGATTTTGGTGGTGAGCACAGAAAACATGGATGTGTAAACAGCTCGTCAAAATTATCTATTGCCTCCTCCTCAACAGGTCAAACACACAGGCAGTGAGCACGTGCCAGAACTGAACCCTCAGCAGAGGAATCCTGAGCTGCAGCCCACAGAAAAGTAAGCCCTTCACTCCATTTTGCCATTTTTTTGCTTAATTCAGTTTTGCTTTCCTTTGTTTTGATTTTTTTTTCAATGCTCTAATGAACTGTTTCCAAAGCACTGATGTCCTTTGCTGCTTTAGAACTGACACCTTGACATACACAGGTTTACACTAATTAAACCCATGTCACAATATACTTTATTTGTCTACTTTCCTCTGAAAGTGTTTTATACTCCATACCAGTTCCAGATGTAAATTGCAAAGTAGCTTCTGAATATGACAGAGCTGAAATCCTGCAGCATCATCTCATTCATGACAGAGAACCTAAATTCATCTGTGAGGCTGAGGGTGGAGACAGCACCTTGTAACATGGGGACCTAAATTTTCTATTTCTGAAAAGCCCCAAGAGAATATTGTAGGGAAAGTAGGAAACCTCTGGCTGTTTATGTTTTTCTGGTTCTAGTCACTTGTAGTTGCTAATATTCTTAGTTTCTTTTCCTGAAAACATGGAAAACAAACTTAGCATATGTTTTCAGGATCAAATTTACCCCCACGTAAGAAAACCTTCCTCTGCATTTGGGGTGCAATTCATGCCTTAACTAATTTGAACTGAATCTCTTCCATCTGTGATAGTGGGAATGGGCTCTGAGGGCCCATGTCTTCCCTTTCTGATCAGTGTGATGAGGGTTTCAGCCTGGGCCTGATATAACTGCTTTATTATATATGTAAAATTTTAATGATTAATTTTGAGGATAAGAAAAAAAAAAAAAAAAAGATGAGGAAAAGAAGACAAAAGTCACAATACCAAGAAAATCTGTGGTGGTTTCTGCCTCTTTGAAGCTGGAGCTCATCAGATACCAGATTAGTCTGAGAATTACATTACTGACATCGTGAACCTTCCAGACCTAAGTCTTTAGCTGGGCCTTTGTTCAAATGCACTACATCATGATGAGATTTTTGCCTTCAGTAAAGCCTGTTGTTTCATCAGCTAAAGTTCACCTTTTTAAATAATCCTTCCCACTAATTTTCTAGGGAAGTAAATGGTATCCACTTTTCATTACAGAATTTCTTCAACCCACAACTGCCCCCAGCAGAAAAGCTGCTGTTTTAATTCAGCCACACTGGCCATTTCTGCTTTTACTGGAATTTTAACAACAGCTTCTTAAAATAGGACAGACCTAAT